GCCTTGTATATTTGAATTTGGAGAATTTTATATTCGTGGTTTTACTTCATATACTTGAGTAAAGACATTGGTCAAATCTCTAAACATCGAGCAAAGTAGTCAAGGTTTATAACATCATGGTCTAGGGGCCGTTATATCCCTCCCTTGAAATAGATGAAAGCTCTTTGTTATTGTTTTAGGAGTCATATGATATGTAACCTCCATGCTGGTTGACTCTGGGCAATGCATTTCAATGTAGCTAATAACATATCAAAATTTATTTATTTTAATAATAAATATAATTTAAACAATATAACCATTTCGATTTTTGGTAATTTTATCATGTTTTGATTTAAATTCGATTGCTAATTGTTTTGCTTGTTCACTAGTTCTATTTTTAGTAATAAAAAACCATTTTGTTTTATGTTTACTATTTTCGTTCCATTGAAAAATCCAAGCTTTTTGTTTAAAAAGAAAACTAATTCCATTAAAATCTGATTTGTTATTTTTACGTAATTTTGTATTTAAAGCATTTTGAGAAGGTGTGACTTTTCTTAGATTTTTTACACGATTATCTAGTCCATTTCTGTTAATATGGTCTGTTAGATTCCAATCAAAATAAATCAAATGATGAAAATATTTTGTTGTTTTATTTAAATTTGTTTTTGCATAAAATGTGTAACCTTTTTTATGAGCACACCAAGTATAATTTTTAATAAGTTTGTAATATTTCAAATCACAAATCATAATTTTGTTTTGAGTAAGTTTGACTTGAAAATATAAATTTCCATCGAGATCTTCAACGTAACGAATTTGATTTTTAATCTTTCCTTTATGTTTCTTTCCAAAGTACCAGTTTGATATTTGAGTAAAAGTTTCGTTCATGTTTAATTCATTAATAAAGATGTTATTGATATTTTATAATATTTGAATTAATAATTATTTAATAAATAAATATTTAAATTGGTTCGAGAATCTCGTTTATAAAAATTAAAAAAAATGAAGTTTATAAAATTGATCATCGTTTTATTTTTTCTTGTGTTATCTTATGCTGATGATAATAATGAAGATAAAGTTTTATTAATTGAAAAGATAATTAATGAAACATTATATTGGAAAAACGAATTAAACTGCAAATCATTAATCATAAATTATACTGATAATGATTTCGATATGAATTGTTATTATGAAGGATGTGAAGATCTATATTATTAATGATTTGTTATCATACATTTGAATTTCTTAATAGATTTTCTTTTGTCAATCAAAAAATTTTCTTCTTTCCAATCATATCCAATAATGATGTTTTCAATATTCTCATTGTTAAAAATTTCATCGCGAAATTTTTCTGTAAAAACAAAATATCTAAGATTACTCGAGATAATTTTTAAATACACTAAAGTTTTCGAATCTTTAAATTTTTCATAAATACTTTTAACGTTGTTGATATTTGTATTAATAAAACTAAGACATTTTAATTTTTTTAATGATGTTAAATAATTCAATATTTCTTCTTCTTCTTTATTATTAAATTTGACATTTCTGAACCTGATATTTGTAATATTTTTTGATTTGATTTCTTTTAAACTTTGAAGATTACAAAATGAAGAACGATCCCATCCATAACCAAGGGCGAATCCGTACAAATTATTAAATTTAAGTAAATCACTAGGACGGTTGGTGTCCAGATAAATATACCGAACATGATTATGATTAATAAGATTGGTGTATTTAACTATAAGATTGGTGATGTCAGGTTTATTTGAAAGTTGAAAATAGGTAATTTTATTTGAATGATCAAATATTAATTTTAGAACGATTTTTGGGACTATTAAAGTTTTCCAATCTTTATCAAGATCGAAATCACATGTAATAATTCGGTAATCGATTTTATAAGTAACAATCTTAAATATATTATCAACACGAATTTGTCTGATAAAAGATAAATAATTAAAAAGGGGTTTTTCCACATTATCAAATTGAAAAGAATAAATTTTAAATAAAATATTTTCTTTGTTATGTTCAGATAAGTAATAATAAATTATTTTTTGTAAGCTCGTATAGTTTCTTCCGATACATGGATAAAATGGATCTTCCCATAAATAAGGAAGAGAAGCTACGGCAAACGATCTCGAAACCAGAACATAGTTTAAAAAATTTTCACGATCGATATAAATCAAAAATGAAAAGATTATTGAAAGAATTTCAAAAGATAATGAATTCATTTTATTTTGGTAATTTGAAAGTTACATGTT